CAAAAATCAAAACCGGCCCCAGCACACTCACTAACACGCAAAGACAATCAGTATCACTAAGAATAAACTTCTAAGATAAAATGCTTTTTCAGAGATTCACCTCCTTCCGGATATAATCTAAGTGAAATGCAGGCCAGCGTTGTCAGTTGACGACGCCAACCCGTACCATTAAACTCAAGAGCGTTGTTTACAACCCATTTTTAAACAATCTGCCAGCCAAAGCAATGCATTCACCGAAAATCTCTATTGTGCAAGCATGTCCGCTTCGTTGGTCGTGGAATCCTATTTTAAGCTTTTTAAAATTTACAATTAGGTCGTTTAATTAACATTTTAGGTCTCTAACGGTATTTTAGGCATTTTAGGTAATAATAATGGGCGTTAAATAAACAGAATTTTTTAAATTCGGATAAATATATAAATTTCGCTGCAATGCCTGAAGTAGATATAAAAAGACAAAAAAACCTAAGATCCGAAGCCTATGCATAATGGACCAGTATTATGGGTACCTCGTTCCCTCGATCTCAATCCTTGTGATTTATTTTGTAGGGTCACATGAAACTGTTAGTCTACCAAACTCCTACCAATAGTGTTAGAGATGTGTCTGCACAAATTATAAATTAACAGAAGATAGACATCTTTAATTCGACATGCGGGGAAGCATGTATGAGAAACGGTGGTCGTCACTTTGAAAATTTGTTGTATAAATATAACAAATTTGTGATTTCACGGTTTTATTATCGTGTTCAATCAAGATTGGTTTAAGTGCTTTGTTTATTGGTTAAAATTTTATCGTTGTTTTCTGTAGTTGTTTAAGTAAAAAAAAAACTGTTCTTTTATGACAATTTTATTATTTATTGTTTTATTCAAAAAGTTATTTGAGAAAATTCACAGAAATATGAAAAAACACATTATTAATTTAATTTTGGTGTAATAAAATTTATCAGAAATTGACATTAATGTGCGTCATGAATGTTTTGGGACAAAATTCAAAACAAAATGTTGTATCAAGAATAAAATGGGTTCCTGAAGTGAAGACGCCAAGTCTACTGCTACCAAAATCATTCCTAAAGCAATGTATCAGTATTGCCTGTGGTATTGCCATCTAAAGGGGAAATCCAGCAATCAAATTTGGCGCTTGATTAAAAGATTTATTGTAGCCAACTTAAATTTGAGTACTGACAAATATTACAACTTTTTTCTATAGAAATGGCAAAGACAATATTTGAATGTCACAAATTTAATAAAAACAAAGCAAAGTCTGAATTAAAGTAACTGGATGCAAATACACAAGTTATTACAGACGTGTGGCAAATTTAAAATTATGGCAGTCAACAACGGTGATTCTATCTATCGCAAGCCTACCGCCTAGCACCCCGTTTAATGAAGAGACGTACCGCGCTAGGGTACCGTTACGCTCGCAAAGTCGTGGTTGGAAATCACAGCTATAAATAAGCTGACAGCGTCACGGCATCCATGCCATTCCCCTGACTCTATTCTAACCTGCATCTTTTGTGTAGGTGGCACTAGGAACCGCGCCCTCCGCTTCTGCCACGTATTTCGGTGTTATTTACCTCAATTCCAATTTAAATGTTCACTTTCTATGACTCTGATATTAATGACAACTGAACAAGTATTAAAGTTTCAAAAAGAGCAATAAACAACAGTTAAATTCGCCATACAATTTTGTGAAATATTAAACAATAAATAATAACTAGCAAAGATTTATAAAAACAAAGATTTGGTGTGAAATAAACTTATGCAGATAAAATATTACGTGAGGTTAAAACTGTAGAGCATTAAAGTTGGCGTTCAATTTAAATTATACAATAAAGACAATAACTGAAGTTAAAATTGTGAGATAAACAAAATTGCAAAGCTAACAAAATTACATGACATTAATATTTGCCACACTTCATTAACGACTCAAACAAAGAATTTATATTATGTTCCATTATGCCATGATCCAAGTGACTGGTTACCTAAAATAATTAACTTTGAGAGTTTATCGTGAATTGGTTACCCCAACAAAACACATAATAAATAAACAAAAAAATATCCAGTCAGCGTTGCGAGGAAAAAGCGTCTCGGTGATGTAATTTTCCACGATGCGGGAGAATAGGTTTCGGTGATGTAAACAAACTTTAACGTTGCGAGGAAATGCCTCGGTGATGTAATCAGTCTTTAACGTTGAGAGGAAATACCTCGGTGATGTAATCAATTTCTAACGTTGCGAGGAAATACCTCAATGATGTAATGATGATAACGACGCTAATAAGGATGCTATCTGTCGAAAGGAAGACATTATTTTAACCCCCCGCCAGTTCGCGATATAATGAATTTTGTTAATTTAACTGCCGTTAATGAACTATTAGCAATCTTGTGTGAAGAATTTAGAAGTATTATAACGTAACACTTACGTATATGCATCCAGAAACCTATTCGTAATTAAACGACAAGGTGTTTTCCTGACTAAGTGAATTTCATGAAATCTTCTAGCACGTGTTTTATTTAAATAATCCTGATTGTCAAACTGTGTTTGCACTAGCTGACGATTAAGAAAAACTCACTTGATTCTTAATTGGTGAATGTACAAACAATAAAACAAATTTACAGCACGTGTTTCGCGTTGAACGGAAGTCCGCAATTTTTCGATTAAAAGGCCGCAAAAATTAACCGCGCGGGTTGGGGACAACAGGGTGACGTCGGTTACGATTGATTGTAGTTAAACAAAGGTTTCCTCCCATTTTATTAACTACCAAACCAACTAATTTAAACTAGCTCTTACCACGTGATTACACTCACACAAACACATTCAGACTGACACTCCGCCATGCAGTGTTCGGTCTCTACCAACCCTCGTAACTAAAAACCCCTAGCGCTAAATTGTCCGACTATCCAGCAAGCGTTAACGTGCACCTGGTTGCCTATGTTTAACGATTTATGATTTGAATTCTTTTTTTTTTCAAATTCAAATTATTCAAATGTGATTTCGCGCCGCTATTAATTAATTTCAGCGCGAAAATTTTGATTTAAATTCGGTCACTACAACGTCTTTCACATTTTTTGTTTCCACAGCCGCTCCTTACGTCAAATTAAAAAAAATCATACGCTACAATCTAATATTACTTCGAAAGCAATTTTCTTCGTTTGAAATATGTACCGTCAAACTAGTATAAAGAAACACTTCAAACTTAGTTGATTTAATTACAAATTACTATAACTCGTATTTTTTGTGCTTTGAATAAAAAATAAATGCAAACATATTCAATATACAGGCTGCTTCAGCTAAAATTCGGAGACCTAATGAGAACGGATATAAATAGATACTAAAATTCTGTAAACGACATTCTATCCACCCGGTCTTCGTCACTCTTTCTCCAACCCCTGCTCAAGGGCCAGCTTCTTCTCTTCTTGCGCGGCGCCCTTTTTTAATTTGAACCGGGGTACGACAATTTCGATATCTCTATTCGTTCTCAAAATACTTAGCCAGTTTTAGCTGTGACACCCTGTGTTTACGTTTCATGTTTTAACTCAACAAATTGGTTTTAATTTTTTGTAAACATTACGAATCATATGTCCAATAAACCTAAAATTTAGTCGATGACAACAAACTGACTACGCGGAAGTGTCAAAACAGTATGGATTGATAAAACACATATGTTTTTCTTTCTGTCAAAAAAGCAAAGACCACTTGATGACTTTTCCCACTGAACATGCTTTAATTATCTACAATATCTATGGTTGACAGTATTGTATTACCTTTGCCATTTGACATTTCTATTAAAACACCGCCTGTGGATTTTTCTTAAAATTTAGCAATTTGTAACAGATTTCGTTTGATTGAGAACGACTTTTAATTAAATAATTGCTTGAATATTGTTACCGGAGGAAGAAGACGCGAAAAAAGTCGCGGTTGCTGTCGCGAGTCGTACCAGCCAATCGGCTGCCTGGATTCAGCCATTGATTAAATACATACAGATAGACCCGTGCTATTGTTTGGAGCGAACAGACCAAAGGCCGGCGAACAAGAGATGGCGCACCAACATTTGGCCGTCAATCGCCCTCGAATAGCTTGGACCCCAATCCTGTGGATTGGCAACCCACATAACAACAACAATACAGATGGTAAATCTACCACTCAATTGAGGGCGACGAAAAAAATGTGTAAAAATCTCATAGTAAGCATTTAGATAATTTACAACGTTGCCAGATAAGCCTAACACAACTCTGCCGTTTTTTCTAGTCAGTTAGATTTTATTTCGTTTAAAAGTTTGTGATAAATAAATGGGATTATTATAATGAATAAATAATACAAACAAATTATTACTTGTTATTTTAAATACTTGTTAGTGATAATGAAAACGTAAATAGTAAATAACGTTATTATAAATACGGTCCGGTAACTCAAATTTTACAGTACGGATGAGATGTTTCAGAACGAGGCGACCGTAGGAAGCCGAGTCTTTAATTTCGAAACGAGTACTGCGAAAAGAGTTAACGGACGTATGTCGTTATGGATTTAATCAATGATTCAGCTCTTCTCCGTGCGGCGGCCAATCGGGCGCTGAGATATGCGAGTAGCGGCCGTGGAAGGTGTTGCCCGACCGCACGAATAAGAGAGCGATCAGAGCTGAGACACGTGTCCTTCTCGATGTTGCCGCCGATCCGAGCCGGTAACAATATGAATATGTCGAATTTAGGAACAACAAAAGGTAGGTATTCCAACAGAAATGGCAAAGACTGTACAGTATACATGCACAGCACAATTTGGCAACGTCGGTTCTTGACGGTATATTTAACCCATCCTAAACTAATTCTTCTAATGACGTAAATCCACTTAAGACTACTTTCTAACAAAATTCCGGTTCTAACTGTTGCTACTCTTGATTTAACTATTGAGTCACGGGCCATCTTTTAGAATATATATTGTCAGAATTCAGTACATCACAAGATCGTAAAATATAAACTTAAGAATTTTAAATATATAAAAAAACAAAAAGTTGTATTTGAAATAATTTATTATTAAATGTAATTTTGTTCAGAGTAATACAAGCTATTGATTGCACCACCACCTACGCCTATAAAATTTTGGTTGATGTATAACAATTCGGTCTGTTGGAAAAACAACAAATTTAGTAGACTGTGGATATGTATACAAGACTTAACTAATTAAAAGTTACAGTACTGTTAAGTAAAAATCGCCTAGATTTATTAACAATATGAACTAATTAGCTGCTACTAATTACAAATTCACTTAAAATTATTTAATAAATTAACAATCGATGTACAATAATCAAAAGTCATTTCATGGCAATCACTACATAAAAATCGATTACTAAATAAACAAAAACAACCGTCGCAAGATTGATATACCGCACGGTCATATTGCAGTTTGCACCATTTTGATATGCTATACGATTCTTCAGCTATCGACTACAAGAAGGAAGTCATTAGTAATATCTTGGTACGGCTGTACAGATCTGTATAATCTATTCGTTGTACAAATCAACCCTGTTAGACCTGTAAAACAAATGCGTCCCCTCTCATATCCTCTAAACCTAACCTAATTTGTGATAGGTGTCGATTGTTCGGGGATAAACCCGTCTTTAGCTATATGTACAAATGGCAGTTATAACAACTTTAGATGTATAATATGCATTTTAGATTTATTAAAGTCTTACAATTAGGAAGAGTTACGATCGTTTAACGATCACTAAGAAGTTGGCAACGTTAGCCTTGAGTGCCTCAGGCCGAGGGAAACGAAAAGCACTTTTTATATTCAAATTGAAATTGGTTTACCTGCCTCGGCGTGAGTAGGCCCTAATGGAATGTCGAATCAATCAATACTGAAAGTTAACAAAATCGATAAAAAAATAAATATTTCTTAGGTAAATGCAATTTCAGTCGAGTGACTAGTAGTCAGGAATAACGTTGCCAACATGGTATTTCATATCTATCTATCGTCGTGGTGATTTCGCGCTTGCCACTTGAAGTCACTCTCCATTATCCACTGCTGACCCGGACTATAGTTGCAAGGCCTCAACAGTGGCAAATTCATGTCACTAGGGTCTGGTCTTTGGAGGCAACTGCCCGTATTTACATGCTTGATCGTCTTTTCCTGTAATAAAACAATCAAATTAAAAAAGTGGGGGAAGCCGCAGGTATAGACTTAAGTGTTAAACTAAACCGATACTTACGACGTCATCGTAGGCCCACGCCTGATTACCACCCATCCCGTGACATCTAACCAACTTGATAGGGCCGTTTTTATGATTTGCGTCTAAACAGTTATCGTCAGACATGACCTGTTGACGTTTTGTGTAGGCAAACACTTGATTTCCGCCCAAGTTGTGGCAATACGTCATGCCTAGATTTTCGCCAGATTTGCGGCCCATGGTGTCCAGACAATTCTTAGTTTCGACGTTTCGAATCTGTAAAACCCAGTCAAATGTGAGTGCTTTTTAATTAATTTAATTTGGGCATTCATTTTCTTGAAACCAAAGTTTCTTCTTAGACAAAACTACGAATTATAAGTTACATTTAAGTGCAATATAAAGTGAAAGCAGAAACTTTAAATAGTTATTTGCTGTTGTTCCATGTCTCACATAAAACTTCGCTCCATAGTTGCATTTTGTGAATCGATTCAGATTTTTATTTTTATTTTCTATTAAGACATCTAAATAAGAAAAAGTATCAGAGGTTTTTCATCATGTTTAAATTGTATGAAACTTGAAATATAAAGCAGTTCAAAAGTTGTCGTCTTTGTACACACGTTTGGACAACAGATTGAAGATTTAAAATTATACAACCATTGTTTCAAGGGGCACCTTGCCACGATATTTTCACGAATCTCTAGTTTCATGTTTTTCTTGACGTTTTACAACTTGTACGAATGTCAGTTCTATAATATCTGTTCCTTGGGGATTTTATAATAGACTGATTAGTGATTACCGTGAAATTATACTTGTATTTTATGATTATCATGTGGGTGGTAAAACAGTAAGCTAAACTTGTTTATCCTCTCTAAAAATTTAATGAAGTTATAAAGTAAATTTCGCTTGAAATTTATAGTAAAACATATTTTTTACCAGTGATCATCATAGTATATCTAGGTATATGTATTTTTAATAACAGGCATATGGGTTACCGTAAAAAAAGTAACATTATAAAACGAAATGTTACTACTTTTTTCATCTTTGAACCAAAGTTTGATGTAGTGATGCAAAACACTAAAATTTATCTAATTATCCCCTCCAGAAATTTAACGTCATCTCAAAAAATTATTAAATAAACGTCCATAAAAAAAATATGCTCTGCGATCCGGGGTTAACATTGGCCGTTGAGCAACAAATTTAGTTTGAATCAATCAGACTATGAGAAAACAGTTAATTGTGCTCCCAATTAGGTAGTTAAAATAAATAAAATGGAAAGATCAACAGTTTAATCGTAATCGTGATTCTGGTAATAATTTTTTTTATCCTTTAAGACTGTGACTAGAACCGGGAAACACTAATCAACTACATATATGTATATAGACAACAAAGTGAATAAATGATACATTAAACACACATGATGTTTTTTTTATTTCATACAACCTCTGTGACATTTTTATTTTTGAAAATAGCTCCTTTGTTCATTGAACAAATTTATATCGTACTAGAAAATCCATTTGCTGGTAAACACACTCTTCAATTCAAGCTTCCGATAACACCGGAAATGACATCAACTTTATATTTTCAAATGGAACACCTGTATATTTTTTCATAAATACATCATCAGAATTTTTTACCACAAAAAATCAAATTTGCGAATCATCTCTTTTTCTTAAAAGTAGTCAGTCGTCCATGGACTCGATTACAATACTTCCTTAGCTTACGGTCGGGAAGTAAAAAAATTAGTCGAAAGTTATTTCGACAGAACTTCCCTCGCTTCTGCAGTACAGTCCAACAAATACTGCTTCACTCTGAAAAATTATAAAATCTGATTTTGCCGAATTTTACTTTTTCGTGAAGGTAAAGGAGGTTACACCTTCTTAAAAAAAGACAGTTGGGAGCCCCGAAAAGACATAATATTCTTAAAAAAAGATACTTGGGGCCGCCGAGAAGGTTTCGCCTTGTTTAAAGAAGGACAGTTGGGACCCCCGAGAAGGTTTCACATTCTTTAAAAAAGACAGTTGGAACCCCCGAGAAGGGTTCACATTATTAAAAAAAAAGACATTTGGGGCCCCATAGAAGGTTTTACATTTTAAAAAAAGAGTTGGGACCCTCGAGAAGGTTTCACATTCTTAAAAAAAAAGGCATTTGGCGCACCCGAGAAGGTTTCGCATTCTTAAAAAAGACATTTGGCACCCCTGAGAAGTTTTAACATTTTTAAAAAAGACAATTGGGACCCTGACAAGGTTTCCTATAAAAAAAACCAGTTGGGACCCCCGAGAAGGTTTCACATTCCTAAAAAAAGACATTTGGCACCACCGAGAAGGTTTTACATTAAAAAAAAAAGACATTTGGGACCCCCGAGAAGGTTTCATATTAAAAAATAAGACCTTTGGGGTCCCAGAGAAGATTTTACATTTTTAAAAAAGAAAATTGGGACCACCCTCGAGAAGGCTTCACATTCTTAAAAAATTTGGCGCCCCCGAGAAGGTTTCGCATTCTTAAAAAAGACATTTGGCACCCCTGAGAAGGTTTTACATTTTTAAAAAAGACAATTTTGACCCTGACAAGGTTTCCTATAAAAAACAACCAGTTGGGACCCCCGAGAAGGTTTGACATTCCTAAAAAAAGACATTTGGCACCACCGAGAAAGCTTTACATAAAAAAAAAGACATTTGGGACCCTCGAGAAGGTTTCATATTAAAAAATAAGACCTTTGGGGTCCCAGAGAAGATTTAACATTTTTTCATATTAAAAAATAAGACCTTTGTGGTCCCGGAGAAGATTTTACATTTTTAAAAAAGAGAGTTGGGACCACCCTCGAGAAGGTTTCACATTCGTAAAAAATTTGGTGCCCCCGAGAAGGTTTCGCATTCTTAAAAAAGACATTTGGCACCCCTGAGAAGGTTTTACATTTATAAAAAAGACAATTGGGACCCTGACAAGATTTCCTATAAAAAACAACCAGTTGGGACCCCCGAGAAGGTTTGACATTCCTAAAAAAAGACATTTGGCACTACCGGGAAGGCTTTACATAAAAAAGACATTTGGGACCCCCGAGAAGGTTTCATATTAAAAAATAAGACCTTTGGGGTCCCAGAGAAGATTTTACATTTTTAAAAAAGAGAGTTGGGACCACCCTCGAGAAGGCTTCATATTCTTAAAAAATTTGGCGCCCCCGAGAAGATTTCGTATTCTTAAAAAAGACATTTGGCACCCCTGAGAAGGTTAAAAAAACAGTTGGGATTTTCGAGAAGGTTTCACATTAAAAAAAAGACATCTGGCGCCTCTGGGTAGGTTTTACATTTTTAAAAAAGACAATTGGGTCCCCGAGAAGGTTTTCTATAAAAAAAAAAACAGTTGGGACCCCCCTTGTTATGAAAAGATGACTACGTATATTAAGAAAAAAATGGAAAATCTAAGCCCCGCCCACCCGCCCTATCTCAATTGTGATGAATTTTTCTTATTCGCCGTAAGCCGGAGGCGGAGCTTAATTGCAAAATTCTTATTTTTTCGAGGAATTATCATGTAATACATGTCCTTAAATAATTCTGTTGTTAATTAAACTTAATGTATTAAGTAAAAAGAAATCCAAAGGTAAGCTACACCCATGCGTCTCGATCTCAGTCCTTCAAAATCTGCATTTCTCTACAAAAATTTACCGTTTTAAACATGTTTCAAGTTTCTTGTTGTGAAAAGAAGACTACACATATTAGGAAATAAAACAAAATATAAGCCCCACCCACCCGCACTACCCCAATTGTGATGAATTTTTTTATTCGTCATGAACCCATAGGGCGGATCTTAATTGTAAAATCCTTATTTCTCTACAAGAAATTAAAAATATATTTTTGAGTATTGTGTTGTTCAAAGAAAACTAAATGTATTAAGTAAAAACAAAGCCAAAGATAAGTTCCACCGATCCGTCTCGATGTCAGACCGAAGGGCGGTAATTGCAAAATCGGCATATACGATACTTAAAAATATGTTTTTAATTTCTTGTAGAGAAATAAGGATTTTACAATTAAGATCCGCCCTCTTGATTCATAACGAATAAAAACTTCATCACAATTGAGATAGGGCGGGTGGGCGGGGTTTATATTTTGCCTTTTTTCATAATATGCACAGTCTTCTTTCACAACAGGAAACTTTAAACGTGTTTAAAACAGAAAATATGGATTTTGCAATTACGCTCTACTCCTCGGTCTGACAACGAATGGAAAATTCATCAAGATTGAGATCCAGATAGATGGGTGTGGTTTATCTTTTAGCTTTTTTTTTTACTTAAAACATATAGTTTTCTTTGAGTAACACGATCATTGAAAAAGAGGTTTCATATGATAATTCTTGTAGAAAAATACGGATTTTGCAATTAAGCTCCGGCCTCCTGGCTCACGACGATCAAAGAAAAACCGTCACAATTGAGATAGGGTGGGTGGGTGGGGCTTATATTTTACATTTTATTTTCTTAATCCACATAGCCTTCTCTTCACAACAAGAAACTGAAAGCAAGTTTAAAATGGTAAATTTTATCGCCCACACCTCTCTACATATTTACCCTTTTAAATATGTTTTCAGTTTCTTGTCGTGAAAAGAGAACTCTAGTGCCATATGTTAAGAAAAAAAAGCAAACTCCCTTTTTTATTTATTTTTGGAGCTTAATGTCAAAATCCTTACATTGGACTACATCAAAATTTTCAAAAGGACACAAAATGACGTCCAAGATTTTCTGGCCGCGACTGTAGTTGCAAGTAAGTGGCTATGGAGTTATGAAAACCCGCAGAGGAGGCGGAGAAGTGTAATACCCTTCGCTGCTGGATGATGCGTACCGACAATATTTTTGCGCGCCAGAGTATTTATAAATGACTAGTTCAATGAACTCTTGTCAGGCAGCAAAGTGACTACTTCTCTACCTGTTATCACTTGCACGCTTTAGTTTGTTGAGTACATGTCATTTCTTAACAAAACAAATTTTTATAACTTTTTCAAGAAACTATACCTCGGGAGCCAAGGAAGTTCTGTCAAAGTAACCTTGGACCGATTTTTTTTACAAAGAATCTAAATCTGAATAAACAAAATATTGTATTTTGGTATTTAACTGTTAAATACAGACCAGTATGCTTTAAAATAATTTCAACATATGTACCAATATATTTTACAGAGTGAATATAAAATATCAGCAAACCCACTAGAAAAACTTAATGAAGCTAAATTAATATTGCCATTATGACAGGCATCGACAAGTAATCCAATCACGACGATGAAGAGGAAAAATTAACGAAATTTCCAAACCAACTTGATATACAATCTTTTATATTCACCTCATATCAAGCAATCAACATAATTTGTAAACGAGTCAGCCTTGGAATTGAATCCGTATGTCTTCCCTACAACGATATGTCGAGGGATGTGATCGATAAAGTTAAATGAAGAGCTGATTCACGTTTACAACAAAATGGACAACATTTTCAGCATTTACTGTAATCATTTTATGTATTTACTAAAAATGTTACGAAAAAGTGTCCGCCATTTTTACTTTCACATGTCATTTCTTGACATACATCAGTGTGGCTTAATCACCGACATCTTAGAATTTTATGTGAGACATCTATACAGGGTGTTATTGAAAGGTAGCTACAACAAAATTGACAGTTTTTTATAGCCTTTTTGTTTTAATATGTGTAAACTTCTTTTCACAACATCAAACTTAAAACATTTAAAATTAAAAGAGGAAAATTTGTATAAGGAAATATCGATTTTGCAATTGGGCTCCGCCCCATGTTTTAAGTTTCTTGTTGCGAATAGAAGGCAAAATATAAGCCCCGCCCACCCACCCTATCTCAATTCTGATGATTTTTTTTATGCGTCGTGAGCTTAACTGCAAAATCCTTATTTCTCCACGAGAAATTAAAAACATATTTTTACAAGCTTAAAAGCAAAAAATTGAAAAATCGAAGATATAAAAAATCGAAAAATCGAGAAATCGAATAATCTAAAAATCAAAAAGTCGAATAATTGAACAATCAACAAATCGAAACATCCAAATCTCGATAAATCGACAAATTGAGATAATGAAAGACTGAAAAAATCAAAAATTTTTTGACTCGAAACACTGAAAAACCAAAAAAAAAAAATCGGAGAATTAAAGAATTGAAAACCTGAAAATCGAAAAATCGAAAAACGAAAAATCTAAAACTGAGGAGTCGAAAAATTGAAAGATCAAAAAATTGAAAAATCGAAAATTTTAAAATTTCATAAATTGAAAAACAGAAGAACTAAAAATCGAATCACCGAGATATCAAAAAATCAAAACCTCAAAAAATCATAAAATCCAAACATCAAAAAACTGAAAAATCAAAAATTACAAAAATTTAACAATAAAAAAAGACGAAATATTCAAATTTCGATATATCGAGAAATAGAAAAATCGAAACATTGAAAAACCGAAAAAAAAAACGGACAATTAAGAATTGAAAATCTAAAAATTGAAAAAGTAAAAAATTGAGATATTGATCAATTGAAGAATAGAAATATTGAAAAATTTTAAAATCGAAATGTGGAAAAATTGAAAAATCCCAAAACTGAAGCATCGAAAAATTGAGGACTAGAAAGACTGAAAAATGGAGAAATCGAAAAGTCGAAAAATTGAAAACTCAAAAACCTGAAAATCGAAAAATTGAAGAACTGAAAAATTCTAACATTGAAAAATCTAGAAATCAAAAAAATTGCAAGATTTAGAAACGCCAAAAAACATCGGAAAATTGCGAAATCGAAAAATGAAGAAATCGAAAATTTGAAGATCGAGAATTCAAGAATCCAAAAATTGAAAAATCTCAAATTGAAATATCGAAAAATTGAGTAATCGAAAAGCTGAAAATCGAGAAAGTGCAAAATTGAAAAATAGAAAAATTTAAGATAAAAAAAAAGAAAAATCCCAAAATTAAAACATAAAAAAATCGTAAAATCGAAAAAACAAGAACTGAAAAATCGAAATTTTAAAATTCTAAAAATTGGAAAACCCAAAAATCGCGAAATTGAAGAATCGAAAAACTGCAAAATTGAAAACCCGAAAGATCGAAAAATTGAAAAACCGAAGAATTGATGAAAAATACACATGTCGAAAAATTGAAAAATCCCAAAACTGAAGCATCCAAAAATTGAAGACTACAAAAACTGAAAAATGGAAAAATCCAAAAGTTGAAAAATTGAAAACTCAAAAACCTGAAAATCGAAAAATTGAAGAATTTAAAAACTGAAAAATTCAAACATTGAAAAATCGAGAAATCAAAAATTCAAAAATTAGTTAACCGAGAACTGAGAAATCAAAAAATTGAAAATTTAGACACGTCAAAAAACATCGGAAAATTGCGGACTCGAAAAATGAAGAAATCGAGAAATCGAAAATTTGAAGAACCGAGAATTCAAGAATCCAAAAAATTGAAAAATCTCAAACTGAAATATCGAAAAATTGAGTAATCGAAAAGCTGAAAATCGAGAAAGCGCAAAATTGAAAAATAGAAAAATTTAAGATAAAAAAAACTGAAAAATCAAAATTTTAAAATTTGAAAAATTGTAAACCCACAAATTGCGAAATTGAAGAATCGAAAAACTGCAAAACTAAGAAGCCGAAAGGTCGAAAAATTGAAAAACCGAGGAATTGAAAAATAGAAATACCGAACAATTCAAAAACTGAAATAACGAAAAGTCGAAAAATTGAAAAATCACAAAGGGAAAAAACGAAAAATTAAAAAAATGAAAACTTTGAAAAATCTAAGAATTGAAACTCAAAAGCTTATAAAATTGAAGAAACGAAAAATTAAAAAATCGAACGATCAAAATTGAGAAATTTAAGAGTTGAAAAAGCGCAACATCGAAATAAGAAATGTGTATTGTAAAATCCAAATATTGAAAATTAAAGAAATGGGAACATCGGATAACTGGAAATCCGAAAATTGCCATATTTAAAAATTTAAAAACTGGAAAATCGAGGAATTGGAAAATCAAAGTTTGAAAATTGGAAAATTGAATAAATGAAAATGCGATATAAAAAAATCGAGAAAATGAGAATTAAAAAATCGGGAAATTGAAAAATAAAAATCAAGAACTTGAAAAATAGAGGAAATGAAAGATGGAAAAATCAAAAATGAAAAAATCGAAGAATGAAAAATTGTAATATCGAAAAATTGTCAATTCAAAAATTTGAAGGAACGAAAAACTGAGAAAAAATTCATAAATTTTTTTGAGCCACCTGTTTACGCAAATGTAAAAAATATGAATGCAGTGACAAAACACAAGTAAAAACTCATCATACATATTTTGTACATTTTGGGTAGAATTTATTCGGCAAAATTTTGAGATGACGTCATCAATTTTTTGGGGAGAATAAACAGATATATTTTGATTAACAATTTACCATGCTTACAATAAATTTAAAACGTCTGCAAAATTTCAAAGTATTCTGGTTTGCAATTCTTGATCTATTCAATAAAATAAATTGTGAATTTTTTTAGTGACAATTAGGCTCCGCCCCATAATTGCAAAATCCATATTTTCTGTTTTAAACATGTTGTGTGAAAAGATGGCGATGTATATTTAAAAAAAAAGGCACAATATAAGCCCCGTCCACCCGACCTATCTCAATTCTGATGATTTTTTTATTCATCGTGAGCCAAGAGGCGGAGCATAATTGTAAAATCCTTATTTTTCTACCAGAAATTACTACGTGAAATATGTTCTTATCTCAATCGTGACGAATTTTTCTTTCGTTGTCAGACCAAGGGGCGGAGCTTACCCGATAATTCGATATTTCCCTGTACAAATTTACCATTTTAAACACGTTTTAAGTTTCTTGTTGTAAAAAGATGACTACACATATTAAAACAAAAAGGCAAAATGTAATATTTTCAGAGGCGCACAAGGAATTTGGACATAAATTTTAATAATTTTTATCTCTAAAAGAAGAACATTTTTGCCTGAACTCTTTTTACTTTTAGCACCCATACTTCGAGACCAATTGCCGATTTTATTTTGTACGCACCTTTCAATAACACGCTGTATATCCTATGAAAAGCACGCTAACACACGTAGATAAAAATTTACTTACGTCTCCTAGATAATAATATTCTAAAGGCATCTGCGACTCGGGATACACATTTTCCAAGTACCACCGGAAGCTCTTGCATTTCAGTCTTTCTCTAAGCTCTCTCCTGCCAGTAACATCCCCCACCGGTACGCTCCTCGCACCTACCAAAAAAAAACACCATCAATCCCACTCCCTTCGAACCAAGAACGGTCACGTGACAAGCACATCATGCAATAACAGACAAAAGACGGGAACTGTGCATGTCAGGAATTGCTGACAGAACCTAAAAAAACGACACGACACAGAACGAACGAAAAGCATTTAGTCACCAAGCAAGGGGGTTAGTGTTTAGTAACATAAACATGACAAAGGAGGTTAGGTCGAGTGTGCTGGTTTAAACAGGGTTAACCTGGGTTAATGTTATAGTAGAAATCCTTCCATTGGTCGAGCCAGACTTCAGCGAGTCGTGCATTGTTGTGGTTGACTATGCGGCTCGTCCCGCCCGGGAACGAGTACGGGGTGGATTTTCGAAACACGTGACCCACATGAGAACAAGTTGCTATCTCCAGGGTGCCTCCGCACATCCATATCTTCGCACCCGAAACATGCAAAAATTAGTAGACCCGATGGTTTTTTTATTGAATGTTGTTTTTTGTCAAAATATGTTATTACGGAAAGCACAAGCGAAATTTTACCACACTGTGGCAATGGCTGATTTAGTTAGTTAGCACACCCTGTGCCCAGATCTGTTAACCGTGTTATGAGTTGGCTAGGATTTTGCGGACAAGGTTTTTTAACGGTTTTGAGGTTTTTGATGAACGTCAAAAAAAAGTGGATCGTAAATTACATATTTTTTGTGGCAATCCCAATTTTTCTCCCTCAGAAACTAAATTCTGTGCAGACATTATTTTTGTATACTAACAAAATTATACAGATTCAAAGTCAAAGAGGCACCCTCTGACCGGTAAAACCATAAATTATAGACCAGCAGAGGTCTCCAAATATTTAATAGCAACGTATACAATGAATTTAAATTAAGTATTTATAAGCGGCACGCGCCACTGTCCAGAGTTGACAAGGGTCTTTATGGCAATCGTAAATTCTTGTTGCTTGAGTAATATTTACCAACCGAATGGCACAAAATTTTACTAGTAAACAAAAATATTGATCTTACGGGCCACTTATTAAAAAATATTAATAAATGAAAACTAAGCTAAATATAATCTCGATTATACGCTTGTGTTCAGCTTTTCAATTAATCGTTTATTAAGCTCGCTTAAATATTGATGGATAACGAACAAACCGGCGAACAGCAGTTTTGTTACCTTTTATCCGTCTAAATAACACGTTCGATATCAATGTTCAGCGCTTTTTGTTGACAACTTTTTCTTAAAATCATAAATATCCAATTTAAGAATTAATTAGAGTAACGTTATTTACAGTGATTTCACTTTGGCGTAAGAAATTTCAAATGATATTAATTTATTACCGAGAAACTCGCAAAATATCACTCGTATTTAGTTACCTAAAAGAGAATAGCTTTTAAACATGTTAAAGGTTTTTTATTTCTTTGTAAATTCCTTATATAGATTTCATTCAATTCGTTTTATTTTTAACTTTAATTAAAGTCAAGTTACTAAGCGAAAACTCGACAAGGAAGTGTTATTTGATTGTGGCTAGGGAATTGTAAAAAAAAACAATTTAACCACTGTTAGGTTCACTAATGAAACTTCAACACAATTTTATTCGCCTCGTAAAGTCCCCACAAACACAGCTGTCTTAACAGTTAGTGATGCGACCACGTACATGTTAAAGGCGGCAAACGATCTAAAAATATTTTATCCAAACTCAATTCAGTCTAAATTAAGGCTAGAATATCCTATTGTTAACCGTTTTATAGCAAACGGCGAAACGCTTTTGTTAAAGCACCATGGAGAGTATATGTCTATTAAAAAAAATTGAGACCCAATGAATTTGAGCAAACTGTTACGTCTTCTTCCACATAAAGATGTAAGAATTAAAACTTAGTTAGGAATAATTATTTACAAATCATGACAAATTTTACTTCCTCGAATGAATAATATGTCTTCGTTGAAGAGTGGCATAAAAATTTGTTTTTTTTTTTATCATGCATCCTTCGACATTTAGTAAAGTTCAAATCTGAAAGGCGGCACGTATTCATGACCTACTTCGACTCTATAATAATTCGTAGAAACCCTGTATGAAATTTCTTTATGGCTAAGTGCGGAAATGACTGAAAATGTCATAATCAAAAAAAAAACTCCTCTAGTACGGTGTGCCATTTGACTATTTATTTGACAGTTATTAGATCGTAACTATCAAATTGAACAAGTTAACGAGTTGGTGTTTCCAACATCATTATTTTAAAAATAAATTGCACCATAGTGTTGCCTAAATCCGTATTATATCTGACACTTGGTCATTTTGTTTTAACATTAACTGCAATAGCTAAAATTTCAAAATTTTGACAAATCAAGTGTACGCTATTGTGTTTTTTCTACTACTTCACCTTATTTTATATGTATTTACCATGACATGAACAAAAAATTCATCAAAAAGACACCAAATCTCATTCGCGGCTCGTTGGGTCAATTTAAATATTGACCTCACGCAAGTATAATACGTAGAGATTTCCTTTGAGTGGAAGTGAAATAAACTTACAGCAAACGTCACTTAAAGCAGAGTCAAAACTTTGTCCGGTTTAATAATGTTTGTACCTCCGGCCAGCACATTTCCAAAATTCTTGTGACCAAAGAAGAAAACTTCAACTTCACCCTCTGGGAAAACAAATTCAACCGAAATTTTTGAATTACAATTCTTCTCGATTTCATTTCAAATTATGTAACTAATAATAATTATGATTTTTAAAATTTTTCCCTTTTTGAATTTTTCATTTTTCTAATTTTTTCATTTACAATTTTTTGTTTTTGTTTTTTATTTTCTTTCTTTTTTCAATGTTCATAATTCATAATTTTTCTTTTTTTTTCAATTTTTTAAATTTTCAACTTTTAGATTTTTTTCATTTTTCGTTTCTTCAACTTTTGAATTACAATTTTTCTAGTTTACATTTCAAATGTGCAACCAACAATTAATTATAATTTAAAATTTTTGCCACTTCTTCAATTTTAGGATCTTGCCCTCTATTTTCTTAGAAGATATGTCATTCGCCCAAATCAGTCTTATCTTAGCAAGTACTAGCCCCGCCCACCCGCCCTCTATTTTCTTAGAGGGTATATCATTTCCCAAAATCAGTCTTATCTTACCCAGTACTTGCTAAGATAAGACTGATTTTGGCATATGACATACCTTGTAAGAAAATAGAGGGTGGGTGGGCGGGGCTAGTGTTTTATAAGAAAAGACTGAGTTTGGCACTTTTGACATATTCGACCCCTTTTCAACCATTTTCGAAAATTAGCTAAAACATTTTCTTGTAGATTTCGATATCCAGAAGTCATTTTCGGTTTCGTTTCTTCAAAAATTTCTACCGTTTTTCCAGAATCGCTAACTGAAATATAGCCATTTTCATAGTTTTGTAAAAGATAGCTCGGTATTTTTTTTTCGATTTTTAAATTTTCAATTTTTTATTTTTCAAATTCATCCATTTAGAATTGTTTTCTATTTTCTTTATTTTTAATGTTCATATTTTATAACTTTTCTTTTTTTCAATTTTTTAAATTTTCAACTTTTAGATTTTTCCAGTTTTGGTTTCTTCAACTTTTGAATTACAATTTTTCGGTTTGCAATTTCCTGCATTTTTTGAAAATATTTTTTCGATTTTTACATTATTCAATTTTTCATGGTTCAAATTTTTCCATTTACAATTTTTAGTTTCTGTTTTTTTATTTTCTTTCTTTTTTCAATGTTCATATTTTATAATTCTTTTTCTTTCAATTTGTTAAATTTTCAACTTTTAAGATTTCTTCATTTTTGATTTCTTCAAATTTTGAATTACAATTTTTCTTGTTTTCATTTCAAATGTGTAACCAATAATTAATTATAATTTAATTTTTTTTTCACTTTTTCAATTTTAGGATCTTGCCCTGTATTTTCTTAGAGAATACGTCATTCGCCAAAATCAGTCTTTTCTTATAAAATACTACCCCCGCCCACCCTCCCTCTATTTTCTTAGAAAATATGTCATTTGCCAGTACTAGCTAAGATAAGTCAGATTTTGGCATAAGACATCCTATAAGAAACTAAGAGGCGGGTGGGCGGGGCTAGCACTTGCTAAGATAAGACTGATTTTGGCAGATGACATACCTTGTAAGAAAATAGAGGGTGGGTGGGCGGGGCTAGTATTTTATAAGAAAAGACTGAGTTTGGCACTTTTGACATATTCGACCACTTTTCAACCATTTTCGAAGATTAGCTAAAACATTTTCTTGTAGATTTCGATATCCAGAAGTCATTTATATTCGGTTTCGTTTCTTCGAAAATTTCTACCGTTTTTCCAGAAACGCTAACTGAAATACAGGAATTTTCATAGTTTTGTCAAAATAGCTCGGTAATTTTTTTGCGGTTTTTAGAATTTTTAATTTTTCATTTTTCAAATTTATCCCTTTAGAATTCTATTTTTTAAAATTTCAACTTTTAGATTTTTTTTCATTTTTCGTTTCTTCAACTTTTGAATTACAATTTTTCTAGTTTTCATTTCAAATTTGCAACCAATAATTAATTATAATTTAACATTTTGTTCACTTTTTCAATTTTAGGATCTTGCCCCCTATTTTCTTAGAGGATATGTCATTTGCTTATAAGTCTTATCTTAGTAAGTACTAGCCCCACCCATCCGCCCTCTATTTTCTTAGAGGGTATGACATTTGCCAAAATTAGTCTTATCTTAGCAAGTACTAGCCCCGCCCACCCGCCCTCTTTTCTTAGAGGGTATATCAATTGCCAAAATCAGTCTTATCTTACCCAACACTAGCTACAAGACAGATTTTAGCAAATGACATTCTATAAGACACTAAAGGGCTGGTGGGCGGGACTAGCACTTGCTAAGATAAGACTGATTTTGGCAGATGACATACCTTGTAAGAAAATAGAGGGCGGGGCTAGTATTTTATAAGAAAAGACTGTGTTTGGCAGTTTTGATATATTCGATCACTTTTCAATCATTTTCGAAAATTAGCTAAAACATTTTCTTCTAGATTTCGATATCCAGAAGTCGTTTTCGGTTTCGTTTCCTCGAAAATTTCTACCGTTTTTCCAGAATCGCTAACTGAAATATAGCAATTTTCATAGTTTTGTCAAGATAGCTCGGTAATTTTTTTTTTCGATTTTTATAATTTAAAATTTTTCATTTTTCAAATTTATCCATTTAGAATTCTGTTTTTTATTTTCTTTCTTTTTTCAATGTTCATATTTAATAATTTCTTTTTTTTAATTTTTTAAATTTTCAACTTTTAGATTTTTTCACTTTTGGTTTCTTCAACGTTTGAATTACAATTTTTCTAGTTTTCATATCAAATGTGCAACCAATAGTTAATTATAATTTAAAAATTTTTCACTTTTTCAATTTTAGGATCTTGCCCTGTATTTTCTTAGAGAGTACGTCATTTGCCAGAATCAGTCTTATCTTAGCAAGTACTAGCCCCACCCACCCGCCCTCTTTTCTTAGAGGGTATATCATTTACCAAAATCAGTCTTATCTTACCAAGTACTAGCTAAGATAAGATAGATTTTGGCATACGACATTCTATAAGAAACCAAAGGGCGGGTGGGCGGGGCTAGCACTTGCTAAGATAAGACTGATTTTGGCAGATGACATACCTTGTAAGAAAATCGAGGGTGGGTGGGCGGGGCTAGTATTTTATAAGAAAAGACTGAGTTTGACACCTTTGACATATTCGACCACTTTTCAACCATTTTCGAAGATTAGCTAAAACATTTTCTTGTAGATTTCGATATTCAGAAGTCATTTATATTCGGTTTCGTTTCTTCGAAAATTTCTATCGTTTTTCCAGAATCGCTAACTGAAATATACCAATTTTCATAGTTTTGTCAAAATAGCTCGGTAATTTTTTTTTTCGATTTTTAGAATTTTGAATTTTTCATTTATCAAATTTATCCATTTAGAATTCTATTTTTCATTTTCTTTCTTTTTACAATGGTTGGTTTCTTCAACTTTTCAATTACAATTTTTCTAGTTTTCATTTCAAATGTGCAACCAATAATTAATCATAATAATTAAAAATTGTTTCACTTTTTCAATTTTTGGGATCTTGCCCTCTATTTTCTTAGAGGATACGTCATTTGCCAAAATTATCTTACCTAGTACTAGAGTAGTAGTTTGAGAGTATACCCACATTAATTACTTGATTGGAGGAACATGATTCAGAAGCAGAATTAGTATATGATAATAATGACGGTTTAACTAAAAACATTAATTTTTTTATTATTAAAGTACAACAGGTAAAATTTACTTTTAGATAATAATACATTTACCACCATCCGGAGAAGATTTTAGACGTCAGAACACCCTTGAAGAAAAAATGTACGACTCTTGCGAAAATACACTAGCAAATTATGGAAGAATTTACTAATTCTTGCAAGTTCCAACAACAATTAGGTTTCTGATACAATTCATAACCTTAAATACGTGACAACCCAAATCGACATTTTTCTCAAGAAACTTTCGCTTCCTAATGTTGATTACCAACCAAGTCACTAGATTTCCATAGCTTGCTGCGGTCTAAAAATGACGTGAATGCATGACAATAGCGCTGTGTAACGTCACACGTCATTTTCAACTTGTGGTGATATTTACGATTTGGTAACACTGCAGAGATTGAAAAGCCAAGATAAAACAAACCAGCAGTACCCACAAAAATGTTTTCAAGACTACTAAGACGCACACTTATTTCCACAAGAAATTTCAGCACGAGCAAACACCACAATTACAAAGTCGCCATAGCAGGAGCCGCTGGCGGCATCGGCCAACCACTCTCCCTTCTGCTGAAACAGAGCCCCCTTATCACAGAACTCTCACTCTACGATATCGTCCACACCCCCGGAGTAGCTGCCGATTTATCCCACATCGAAACCACCGCCAAAATCGCAGGTTTCATGGGACCCGAAAACCTCAAACAGGCCTTAAAGGGCGCCGACTTAATCGTAGTGGCCGCCGGCCTACCACGCAAACCTGGAATGGATCGAGACGACCTCTTCAAGAGTAATGCGTGCGTTGTGCGAGAAATAGCTGAAGTCACCGCTGAAAGCGCCCCCAAGGCTCTACTTGCGATAATTACCAATCCGATCAACTCAGTCGTAGCTATCGCAGCTGAAGTACTGAAAAAAGCCGGGAAATATGACCCTAAGCGGTTATTCGGGGTGTCTACACTTGACGTAGTCAGAGCTAACACCTTCGTGGCGGAACTGAAGGGGTTATGTCCCTTAGAAGTCAATGTACCTGTTATTGGGGGGCATGCGGGAGCTACGATTATACCGCTGATTTCTCAGGCAACGCCTGCTGTCACTTTTCCTCCGGATCAGCTGCAAGCTTTGATTAGGAGGATTCAAGACGCTGGAACTGAAGTGGTGAAGGCGAAGGCTGGAGCGGGTTCGGCTACATTGTCGACGGCTTACGCAGCGGCAAGGATGGCGATTTCGTTGGTAAGGGGGCTAAATGGGGAACAGAATATTGTTGAATGTGCGTACGTGGAGTCAAGTGTTACGGAAGCCAAGTACTTCTCAACACCTCTGTTGTTGGGTAAGAATGGAATAGAGAAGAACTTGGGGTTGGGGAGACTGAGTGATTTTGAGCAAGATATGGTGAAGAAGGCAATTCCAGTATTACAGAAAAATATTAAAACAGGTGAAGATTTTGTTATTAACAATTAGATGTAAAAAAATAGAAGTATTTTTATGATTCCAGTGCATTTGTCTTGATTTTGTTTCACGTCTTGTTGTTTTTCATAATTAGAATAAAAATAAAAAAAAAAATTATTGAGAGAGAATCAAAGATGCGCCATTTGTTCTGATAGCAATCAAATTCAGTCTTAATGTATGTGTATAGTGTTCATAAAAAATTCTAAACTATTATAGTTACTGGCTTCTTTTATTATAATATTTCCGAATTATTAATATTTTATTTTGTTAGAAGTAGGTGCAACTTTACTGCCACATAATTATTTGTTTAAACATTCATTATCGTAAAGTTTAGCATTTAAGTGGGATTTATAAACTTGCTGTTCCCGCTGCCGTTGCTTTTAGAGCCATTAGAGCTGAAAATTGTCATTTATAAACTCCGTTGCCAAGTTGCCATTGATAGTAACTTTGATGTTCAATTTTTGCCGTATTAAAGAAAAGTGGATGATTTAAGTTGATTAATACAAAAATTTACCACTTTGGACATGTTTCTTGTTGCCGAAATAAGTCTACACATAATAAGAAAGAGGCAAAATGTAGCCCCGCCCACCCACCCTATCTCATTTGTGATGATTTTTTTTATTCGTCGTAAGCCAAGAGGGCGGAGCTTAACTGCAAAATCCTTATTTCTCTACGAGAAATTAAAAACATGTTTTTGAGTATCGTGTTGCTCAAAGAAAACTATGTATATTAAGAAAAATAAAGCCAAAGATTAAGCCCCACCCTAACCTGTTCTGATGTAAATAGTAATGAAGTTTTCATTTGTTGGCAGACCTAGGGGAGGAGCCTAATAAATAAACCAAAAAAAAAAAACATTTAATAAGACATTTAAACAAAAACAAAACCAACAAAAGAAAAATCCATTAAAGCACAACTAACTAAAAACTAGAGAAGATAGATGTTCAAAATTCCTGCCTTGTACATATAACTAAACTCGTAATATTTCCAAATTTTGATCATTTTTTGTAAAAGATAGTCATTAGTACTAAGATAAAACTGATTTTGGCAAATGGCATATCCTCTAAGAAAAGAGACGGTGGGTGGGCGGGGCTAGTACCTGTTAAGATAAGAGTGATTTTGGCAGATGAGATATGTTTTAAAAAAAGAGAGGGTGGGTGGGCGGGGCTAGTACCTGCTAAGATACGAGTGATTTTGGCACATGAGATATCTTTTATAAAAAGAGAGGATTGGTGGGCGAGGTTAATAGCGGCCACTGTTTTTGGTAAATGACATATTAGGGGCAATTCTGAATCAAACTTATTTTCAAAAACCCTACGTTTAAAATGTTCGTAGTTAATTGGTAAGATAATGTTGATTTTGGCAAATGACATATACCCTGGGAAAATAGAGGGCGGGTGGGCGGGCCTAGTATTTGTTAAGATAAAACTGATTTTGCCCCTATTAATACTGTAAAAACTTGTGAAATTTAAAGGTATTGGAAATTTCCTGTATCTTTACACTTTTAAACATTCATCATTCACTAAAATTTGAAATGTCGCATGTTTAGTGAGCACAGCATTAATCAAACAATATCTTTTAATTCAAAGAAAATTTACTTTTTGTTGCTTATTTTTTCACGAAAATTTTATTTTTGACTCAAATATGATTTTTTCATGTTCCTGCACTCTGAAAATTAATTTATCTCTACTGCTAATTATGTTTCAGATATATTTTAACTAAATATATTCGTTCAGTTTTTAAAACATAAGAAATATTTCAAATTTTTGAACATTTTCGATTTTGACAGTCATTACTGAATTTTCTTAACATTTTCACTTCATTTTTCCGATTAATTCAACATTCTTCTAAAATTTAATAAGTCTCAGCATTAATCAAACAGCTCTTTTAAATTAACGAAAATTTTCTTTTTTTTTATATTTTGTACTCAGTTATGATTTACTCACAATTTTACTCTGTGAAAACTAACATATTCCCGCCCACCCGCTCTATCTCAACTGTGACGATTTTTTCATGCATGGGCGGGGCTTATATTTTACGGATTTGGCAATTAAGATCCGCCCCCTGGCTCACGACGAATAGAAAAATCATCACAATCGAGATGGGGTGGGTGGGCGGGGCTAATCTTTCGACGTTTGTTATTTCTTGATATTCGTAATCTTCTTTCCTCAACTATAAACTTAAAATATGGTAAAAATGGTAAATTTTCGTAAAAAATTTATTAAAACGAAGGCAAAATATATTTTGATTAAAATCTTAATATTTACCCCAATCTTCTAAAACTTCACTCTTTACAAACTTGCTTTTTTACTGAAAATTCGGTTTAATTTTAACCCAGTTAATCGGTAATTATCGAAAATGCGTTAATTTACGCGAATCCACAAGGAATATTTCATTGTCAAATTGTCAGTACCATCTCAAGAGCTTTGATAATCACAGAATAGTTTTGACAGTTTTAAAATTACATTTCTTAGCAATCAAAGGAAATGTGCTTTGAAAAGTTGTGTTTTATTTTCAAATACATTTAAGAGTCTGGTGTTCTGTTGCTGGATGAACTTGAAACGATCTTTTGAGCTTCTATTAGTGTTTTATTTTTTATGAATTTGAAAAAGTCTTGAGTGCCGCAGTTTTTTATTTTTAATTCGGGAAACTCCATGGAGACTCTTGGGTATCCATGATGTATTATTTTGGGAGGCCATGGAGATTTTTTTTGTAAATTATATTAAAACAATCGTGAGGTTCAAGGAATTCCTGCTTGGAAAGAATTTCAAAGTGCTTTTCTTATAATAATTTAATTAAATTTCTTAGAGGGCACGTTATTTGCCAAAATCAGTCTTATCTTAGCAGATATTAGTCCCGCCCACCCACCCTCTCTTCTCTTGGAAGGTATCTCATTTGCTACAATTGGTCTTATTTTCGCAGCTACTAGCCCTGCCCACCCAACGTCTTTTCCTTGGAGGGTGACATTCACTAAAAATCAGTTTTATCTTAGCACGTACTAGCCCCGCCCATCCACCCTCTTTTTTCTTAGAAGGTATCTCATTTGCCAAAAACAGTTTTATCTTGGCAGCTATTTACCCCGCCCACCCACCCTCTCTTTTCTTAGCGAGTATGTCATTAGCCAAAATCAGTTTTACCTTGGCAGGTACTAGCCCCGCCCACCCACCCTCCCATTTCTTAGCGGCTATGTCATTTGCCAAATCTCAGTTTTATCTTAACAAGTACTATCTCAATTCGGATGATTTTTTTATTCGTCGTAACCCGAGGGGCTAAACATAATTGTAAAATTCTTATTTTTCTAGGAGAAATTACCATGTGAAATGTTCTTAAACAAAGAAAACTAAATGTATTAATAAAAAAAAAGAACAAAAGAGAAGCCCATCCATAAAATATGAGGGTTTCGGTGAACACAAAATTTGATTTTGTGGAATTAGTGCTGTCAACCAGAAAAATGTCTTCAAGGGACAATTTTCTGGTATAATTTCACAACAGAAATGATTTTATCAGCATTGGGAACATCACTTCCTTCAGCCATCATAAAACTGATCTTGAACGTTAGAATTCCTTATGTTCTTGCAGGTTTAATAATATTTTTGCGGCTTGAATTCGAACTTTTATTCTGGATCGCGCCGCTCTAGAGCGTAGTGTTCCAACACGGCTTATTATGATTTTCATCGTGTTGAATACGTGTTTTGTATCTGCGAATGCATTTTAATTTAATTAGTAACTGGAATTAACGCATAGTGTAATCTCATGTATTTTTTTTTTTGTTAAAGATTGTTGATGAAGTGTGGCGTAATTAATTTAAATAATTTTAATACTCATAACAAGTACAAGTTCGCGCGGTGAAAGCGGAACACACGGTTTCTAATTAGAGTTAAGAATCTCCGAAACTACTGGACCGGTTATTATATAATTTTATATGCATTTTAGAATTATCGTGTAGACAGTAAAACTCTAAACTTTATAAAATAATATTCTTCTATACTTGTTGCTTATAATTCTGCTACCTCTCGGGTAGTTTGCGTGAAACTGTTCTGAGGGATTAGGACCACCTGATTGCAGTTTTTTTGACCGCAGCGCGCAACTGACCCATGCCCCTGAATTGTACGCTACAAGTACAACAAAATTTATAATAATATATTAACTATAGTAGAATTCTTTTAATTTTGACAATATGCTGTAAAACTGTACCAATTTGGGCATCTGCTACGTTTAATTGCGGATTTCCAGTACAATAACATTGTTTGCATTTTTTTTTTTTAGTTTCGCATTTTTAATATAAAGTAAAAAAAAACTGATGTAAAATGAGGGTAAAACGAATAAATTACCCTTTATTTATCTACCATTAAAGAATTTAAGAAGCAGGAACTATTCGTGCCCAACCAATTATCGGATTACGATTAGACCAGTCGAGATGTAATAAAACTCGAGTCTGTATATTTGGTTGTCTGATTCTAACGAAATCTTGCAATTTGTTTGTTTCAGTTCAAGAAAATTCTCTACAGGCGTACTTATGATTCAAATCAAATGCTCATATGAAACTACAACGGGAACGGCGTTTTACTTCATAGTCTGGTTAAGTGAGGTTCTACCTTAATAGATGTTGAAATTGACACGTCATGCGCGTGAAACGCGCAGCTTGGTTTAATTGTTGGCTAGTTTGCAAAGATCGGGTAAAGTGTATAATATGCGGCAGGTTTTTTGCGCACAGAAATGCGAAGTGTATAATGCATCCAGTTACTTTAATCCGATTTCTCTGCTCCTTTATGTTTTTAAATTTGTAATTATGTAATGTAGGATGGTCACTTTTAACAGGACAGTGCCACAGCCCATGCAAATGGAGCTAGAATAGATTTTTTGGCTGAATTTTATAACGTTGGAATTATTGATCGCAATACACCAAACTGGCCGCCTAGATCATGTTATTTTCAACAACCATCAGTTTTTGACATGACTCCTTCTGCACTATAAAAAAGCCGTAAACAATTGATTTTTCGCTACCTATTCCAAATTTATTATTTATTGTACATCCGGGATTAATTTTTATGTGCGCTAATAACAACAATAAATCAGATAAGCCGTTTCTGATTTAGGTAATAAAATAAACCAATTTTGCTAACTGAAAATGCGGGATTTTAAGACTTTTTTATCACCACTTAATCAACAAAAAACGATGTTAATAAATATTGGTAATTAATTGATGTTTGACTTCATTTTGAGAAACCGTCCATTAAAAAACCTTGTACCGTACTCCTCATCTCTCTAAATCGTAATTCATATTCATTGTTAAATTACAACCTGCATACCATATCATCTAAGAAAAGCATTCCTGCAATAATTAATCGAAACCAATTAATGTCAAGTTAGTCAAGAATCAAAAATTCAAAACAAAGCAATTCCAACATCAACGCCGAGTTTGCACCCTCAATCAACCCTGTCATTGCTTGAGCGAACAAGCTCCCCCCTCAAAACCCCAACGATTCCCCGCTTCTCAATCAATCTCAAAATGCCAACGCATTAGATCGCAGTTCCCAGCTGTCATATCTGTGAAATGTCAAACCTGGATTCATGGCGTAGTAGAAGTCTCGCCATTCGTCCATCCATACTTCCGCCACCCGAGCGGCATTGTGCAGTACTATCTTCGACACACCTCCGGGGAACGTGTAGGGACTCTTGTCTCGGAAGACGTGCCCGACGTGGGAGCAAGGGATTATCTCGAGTTTGCCGCCGCACTGCCAAACCTACGGCGCACAAAACAAACAAGCAAACTGTTTTTTGTTCAATACATTGACACTTGGTTGTTGGACGCAGGGTGTGCGTAGAACAAACAAAACAAACACGCGTGGTAGAGAAATGTAAAAAAAAAGAAGAAAGTGCCAATGGCTTGTAGATTTACCCTGAAACTCATCTCAAGGTTCTCGCCGCCCCAGATGTTCATGCCTTCGTCGTAGGCGCCGAGCTCGTAGAAGTACTCCTTGTCGATGGAGAAGAGGCCGCCGGCCATCGTGGGGGTGCGCAAGGGGGCGGTGCGGTCGTTGTTGCGGCGGTCCATCTCTCGCTGAGGCACGCGATACCTGCGTCATAAACATTAGAAAAATATTGTATGTAACGGGTGGCAAAATGAGGCGGGCGCCATTTTTCTGCCGGCAGGCCAAAAGTGATTCAGTCGCTTGACACGGAAGATACGAAAACGCATGTGTCCATTTTACATTTTAACATTATCTTGAGAATAATACAGCGCTAACCAAAATGTTTACTCTCCGAAAAACATCATCCTGAAATACTGTTCAGTAAAAAATATCACTTGAAATGAATACACAATGTTGATTTATTTACTTGGGGTTTTTATTCTTGATATTTATGATCGAAATAATAATCGATTTGTGGCAAAAATGAATTAAAAGAAAATAACTGACTCAAATGACTTTCACAATACATGTTTAATTTTTCCAAACACTTGTAGAAAAAAGTTTATTCTTAAGACCCACTGAGTCACCAGTATTACAAAAGAGTTCGGTATGCACATACTTTCTAAAACAAATAGTAAAATTTATTGTTCAATTTTAGAATAATTCATGTGTACGTACGTACCTTAGTCGTTAAATCAAATGAAGTTATTGATGTAATTTCTTTGACAAAGGGTAAATATTGAATCTGTTATATATTTTTTTGACATAACATGTGAAAATAATATGAAACTGGATTGATTATTAAGCCACAAGCAAAGCAGCATATTCAAAATAAAATTTTGTGTAGACATATACAAAAATATAACACTAATAATAATATGATTGTGTTAATAAAAAAACAATTCGTCGAAAATTATTTCCACAGAACTTCCCTAGCTTCCGAAGTACAGGCCAACAAATACTTGATTTTGTGGAATTTTCCTTTTTCGTGTTAACCTCTATAGAGCAAAGACAATACATATAGAAGGTACCCGTCACAGTGTAATAGAAAAAAAGAAGGTTTTATCTTCCTAAAAAAAGACAGTTGATAGCCCCGAGATGATTTAATATTCTTAAAAAATGACACTCTGGGGCCCCTGAGAAGGTTTCGCTTTCTCTAAAAAAGGACAGTTGGGACCCCCGAGAAGGTTTCACATTCTTAAAAAAAGATACTCTGGGCCCCAGTAAAGATTTCACATTTTCAAAAAAGACAGTTGCGCCTAAAAACATTTGACGCCCCCGAGAAGGTTTCACATTAAAAACAAGACATCTGGGGACCCCGAGAAAGTTTCACGTTCTTAGAAAAACGACATTTGGGACCCCCGAAAAGGTTTCACATTTTTAAAAAAAGACATTTGGCGCCCTCAGAAGGTTTTACATTTTTAAAAAAGACAGATGGTACCGCCGAGAAAGTTTCACAATAAAAAAAAAGACATTTGGCGCTCTCGAGAAGTTTTTACAATTTTAAAAAAGATAGTTGGGACCCACAAGAGGCTTTCACATTTTTAAAAAAGACAGTTGGGTCTGCCGAGAAAGTTTGACATTTTTAAAACAGACAGCTGGAACCCTTGAGGAGGTCCCACATTAAAAAAAGACATTTTTAAAAAGGACAGTTGGGACCCCCGACAAGGTTTCACATTAAAAAAAAAAAACATTTGGAACCACCAAGAAGGTTTCACATTGTTTAAAAAAAGACAGTTGGGACCCCCGGGAAGGTTTCACATTCCTAGAAAATGACAAATGGGAATCCCGAGAAGTTTTCACATTCTTAAAGACATTTGGCGTCCCCAAAAGGTTTAACATTTTTAAAAAAGGCAGTTGGTACCCCCGAGAAGTTTTATATTTTTAAAAAAGACAATTGGGACACCCTAGAAGGTTTTACATTTTAAAAAAGACAGTTGGGACACCCGAGAAAGTTTTACATTTTTAAAAAAGACAATTGGGACCCCCTTGAAGGTTTTAGATTTTTAGAAAAGACAGTTGGGTCTGCCGAGAAAATTTGACATTTAAAAAAAAAACAGCTGGGACCCCCGAGAAGGTCTCACATTATAAAAAAAAAAGACATTTAGCGTCCTCCAGAAGGTTTTACATTTTCAAATAAGACAGTTGGATCTCCCGAGAAGGTTTCACATTAAAAAGAAATTTGGGACCCCCAAGAAGGTTTCACATTCTTAAAGACATTTGGCGCCCCCAAAAGGTTTTATATCTTTAAAAAAGACAATTGGGAACCCCGAGAAGGTTTCATATTCTTAAAAAAAGACAGAAATCCGCTGTCTAGTAATATGAGGGGCAACTGAAAATCGTTTATGTATAAACATTCTTAATTTAAGATGACAAGCGTAACAGCATACGTGAGAGTCAAACAGAGAAACTGTAAACAAAACGACCATCGGTTTTATTGCTTCGACTTCCGCTTATTATATAAAACATTGCGTTTTATTTTAATTCTTGACGGTGAAATTCACAATTGGTTGATTATAAACATGTCTATTTCGCATTCGCGGAACCAAGTGACCGCATAAAACAAATGCAGGTCTGTAATGTTAAAGTCGATGTAAATAAGCGTGCTACCCTTATGTTTCAACCGAGTTTTTCCTTTAACAAATTTTGTGTCTACCAAATTGGGTTGGTTGGGGTGTAATACTAATAATAAGTGTTGCCTTTAATTTAATCAATAAAATAAATTGACTTCATAAATTTTTTTGAACCACCTCTTAAGAAAATCTAAAAAATATGAATGGAATGATAAATCACAAGTACAAACTCATCATATTTTTTGCATTTTAGATAGGATTTATTCAGCAAAATTTAAGGGTGACGTCATCAATTTTTTTTAGGAGGGATGAACAAATACATTTTGAATAAAAGTTTACCATGCTTATAATAACTTTAAAATATTCCCAAGATTTCAAAGCATTCGGTTTTGTAATTCCTGATTAAATCGATAAAATAAATTCACGCCTTCATTAATTTTTTTGAGTCACCCTGCATATGCAAATCCAAAAATATGAATGGAATGATAAATCACAAGTACAGACTCATCATATTTTGTACATTTTAGATACGATTTATTCGGCAAACTTTTGAGCTGACGTCATCAGTTTTTTGTAGAAGATAACCAAATATATTTTGACTAAAAATTTATTATGCTCTTTATAACCTTAAAACATCTGCAAGATTTCAAAGCATTCGGTTGTGTAGTTCCTGATTAAATCAATAAAATAAATTTACGCATTCATTAATTTTTTTGAGTCACCCTGTATATGCAAATCGAAAAAATTTGAATGGAATGATAAATCACAAGAAGAGACTCACCATATTTTGTACATTTTAGATAGGATTTATTCAGCAAAATTTTGTGGTGACGTCATAAATTTTTTAGGGGGGACGACCAAATACGTTTTGATCAAAAATTTACCATGCTTATGATAATTTTAAAATATCTTCAAGATTTCGAAGCATTCGGTTTTGTAGTTCCTGAGTAAATCAGTAAAATAAATTTACGCTTTCATTTATTTTCTTGAATCACCCCGTATATGCAAATCCAAAAAATATGAATGGAGTGATAGATCACAAGTACAGACTGATCATATTTTGTACATTTTAGATATGATTTATTCGGCAAATTTTCGAGCTGACGTCATCAATTTTTTGGAGGGGATAAGCAAATATATTTTGACTAAACATTTATTATGCTCTTTATAACCTTAAAACATCTGCAAGATGTCAGAGCATTCCGTTTTGTAGTTCCTGATTAAATCAATAAAATATATTTACGCATTCATTAATTTTTTTGAGTCACTCTGTATATGCAAATCCAAAAAATATGAATGGAGTGATAAATGACAAGTACAGGCTCATCATATTTTGTACATTTTAGATATGATTTATCCGGCAAACTTTCGAGCTGACGTCATCAAGTTTTTGGAGGGGATAAGCAAATATATTTTGACTAAACATTTATTATGCTCTTTATGACCTTAAAACATCTGCAAGATTTCAGAGCATTCGGTTTTGTAGTTCCTGATTAAATCAATAAAATATATTTACGCATTCATTAATTTTTTTGAGTCACCCTGTATATGCAAATCCAAAAAATATGAATGGAGTGATAGATCACAAGTACAGACTCATCATATTTTGTACATTTTAGATATGATTTATTCCACAAACTTTTGAGCTGACGTCATCAAGTTTTTGGAGGGGATAAGCAAATATTTTTTGACTAAAGATTTATGATGCTCTTTATGGCCTTAAAACATCTGCAACATTTCAAAGCGTTCTGGTTAGCAGATTAAAAATTAAATTTCAAAATGTTGTTTTATAATTTTGATTTTTTTTCCAAAAATCTGGACGTTTCGGGTGAAAAGTCGATTCAGAGTTGTAAACTACATGTGTAGGACTATGTTATTTTATACAATTGAAAACCCATTTACTATGCACAATTTTGAAGTGACGTCATCGCATTAGTGGTGGGGATGATTAGACAAATTTTGGTTAGCGTTTTACCATCTACATGAAATTCTTAATATAAGTACAAAATTTCACTACAATCGGTCGAGTACTTTCGGAGATTATCTGTCTAATAAAAATCCGGGACAACAGACGGACAGACGGACGGACAGACGGACGGACAGACGGACAGACGGACAGACAGACGGAAATGGGAGACCTATTTCTTCGTCTTCTAGGGGTCATGAAAGATCGAGAAAACGTAAAAGTAGAGAGTCGGCCGACGGACTCGATTACAATACTTCCTTTGCTTACGCTCGGGAAGTAAAAAGGTAAAATAAATGGTAGAACTTCATTTTCAAAATTCGATTTTGTTACTGTAGCATGTATGCGTAAAATCAAAAATATGGCCATGAGCCTAATTTACTTAGCGAAAGAATTTTTGGTGAGGGTGAGGATCAAATTTTAGTTGATAATTTTGGAAGGATAAACGGATATGGTTGATAGTAGGATTATGTTTTTTATAAAATTTAAGTAACATTTAATATGTAATTTTTTGAGGTAACGTCATCACATTGTTTGTGGAGATGATTAAATAACTTTTAGCCTAAAATTTGACAATAATCGTACCGACAGTTTCGGATCTTATCTGTCTAATAAAAATTGGCACAAACGACAGTCAGACGGAAACGGGAGACCTATTTTTTGTACTCCAAGGGTGATGGAACATCGAGAAAAAAATATTTAGATAGAACTTCCCTCGCCCCTGAACTACAGTACAACTTTCCAATTTTTTAGAAAATTGACAAAATCTGATTTTGCAAATTTTATTTTTTTTTATGATAATGCTATTCGCATCTTTCAGGTGCAGTTCTCCATTATAATCTGTGATGACAGCATCAATATTCTATCGACAACACGTGTAATACTAACAATAACATTTCTAAATTTTCGGTAAAATCGGGTGAGCCATAGTTGATTTAATCAATAAAATAAACTACCTCATTCATAATTTTTTTTGGGTCATTCTATCTAAACAGTTCGAAAAAAGGCGCCACTCACAATAACCACACATATCGAAATATCAAGGAAACAGTGGGTTGCTAACATGTATACAAACGCATTATTTTAAGAAACCATAAACCCAGAACCGAAAGCGGAGACAGTCGATGGTTACAACTTACGATTGTTTCTACTTTTTTGATAACTTGCCTAATTTTTGAACACAAAACATATTTCTTGGCATTTTACAATTACAGAAAAAAACGAATTTTCTTAATTCAAAAAAAAAAAATGTTCCCAGCTTCTTCGAAAAATTATAAAATTAAAATAATCCTTCTATTTAAAATAGAGATATGTGTGGACTGTTAAAGTATAGTTAAACCAGTCACATTGGATATATCTGAGAACGAACAACCAGTCACATTGGATATATCTGAGAACGAACCCCGGACCCTTCAGATGCAAAGCATGTTTGTTTCGTATTGCTGGTATGTACTGCTTTACTACGAGAAATAGTAAATAATAAAAATTATAATAACAAACAAAATTAAGGCAAATTCATAAATCACAAGTACCGGAGTATGTTATTTTATAAAATTTATGCCATGCACTAAGCAAAATTGGTGCTGGGGATGATCTACACGATATCGCTAACATATATGTAAAATTTGACAACAAACGATAGACAGACGGAAACCCGAAACCCACTTCTTCATACTCTAGAGGTCGTGAAAAGTCAAAAAAAAAAACATTATAATACTTGATTAGCTTAGATTCGGGAAGTAATAATTTAAAAAAGGAACTGGATTTTTATAAGCAATCACTGTCAAAGTCACAATTAATTTATTAAATTTATAACCCAATTGAATTAAAATGTCTTCAAAACGACCTTGAAATCTTCTAAACTAAAACAAACGTTGTACATTGTAGATTCATTGTAACGAATTCCAAATTAAATTCAATTTTTTTTAATACACTCCCTCACAAAAATAAAAAATTGAATGAATCTTCAAATGGCGTCGAACAATAAACACCATAATGAAGTGCAGCACCATCTTGTCATTTCACAACATGGCCGCCAAAGTAGAAAAACAGAATATGTACACCATGTCAAGAAACTTAATAAACAAATATCGAATTCGAATATCACTATTTTTTTTTACTACCACAAATACACAAATTACTGTGGAAATCGCCTACAGCAACATTAACTCCAAAGCAAATATGTACATCGATTTATTCCAAGTGCACTGAACAATAAAATACTCATTTATGAAGGTATACTGTACCACAAATAAAAAAACACATTATTTTTTTCTTATTTTAGGTATCTCTGGGAGTTGGAAAGTCTTTAATATGTATTAAAATTCCTCAGTTGTGTCATATTTTTTTAAACTAGTGAAAAATACATAAGTAGATCTGCGCCCACCAGGAGAATATGTAAAGAATCTTCCATTTTTACCAAACTATTAACATGACAGAGCATTGGAATAATAAACTTGGAAGTTTGCCGAAACAGGTGGCCAAAGTAAACATATAGAAGACGAAGTTTTAATATTTCCTGTAAATTATTATCAATTATGTTTTTTTGCTTCACATTTTAAATCGCAGTACTTGATTATTTTAACGCATTTAACACAACCCACCTGCATCAGCAGACAATAATGTTGGGTGTCAGTTGTTGTATAACGTTGGTATTTTTAAACGAATTAATTTTAATAAAGAAATTGTTTCAAATTTAACCTTACAATAACACCTGCATCGGCGCCTTGTCCATGAGGTCAATTGGTCAATGACCTCCTAAAAAACAACGTCTCAAAAAATATAATTTTGGCAAAATTACAATTGTCAATTCTGTATTCGTATATATTTACCATGACATGAATAAAAAATTCATCAACAAGACACCAAATCTCATTCGCGGTTCATTGGGTCAATTTAAATATTGACCTAACGCAACTATTATACGTTGAGATTTCCTTTGAGTTCGGGCCATATTTTGATAATAAAAAAAATAGGTAACTCAATAAGTGTATGAGACAGTTAAGTCATTTCGAATAGAACGCTGTTTCAATTAAAAAAAAAAATCGGACCTGGTGATAATGTCAAGAGCGGCTAAATATAGCCAAAACAGGCCAAAAAAGTTAAATTTCCAGAAAAAGGAATTTCATTTAATCCAACATGCACGCTATTAGTAGCTCGGCGGAATTCATCACCATGCTATAGGATGACTCGTAAAATCATAGAGCCAACAACACAATTGTCCACCTCATTTAATCCAACAAAAACGTGGTCACAGTTCAACAATTCTGTAAATAACCTTACTAAGCTCAGCACAAATTTTACTTGAATTAATTTCTGGCACTTTTGACCCGCTGAAAATTATAATTCGTGATTCATACCATCTGAAGTTTAATTTCCAGTTGAAGCCACCCCACGTCATATCCGAGGCCGTGATGTACTCGAATGTTTCGTCTGATATTACATCGATGATGGGACAAACGACTGTCTTTCGATCTTGGACTATTCGGGCGAGAAGAGGTTCCAACCATCCTTCCGTACATTCACAATGTGCATCCAAGAAGGTGATCACTTGACCCTTGACATGTTTCGCTCCTAGCAGACGTGCTCTAATTAAACCTGAACGTTTTTCAGTACGTAGAACTATTACTGGTACGGGCAAGGTCTTTACGTATTCTTCCAGCTTTTCGCCCAGGTGTTCTGTGGACAAACAAGTGGTCTATGAGAGAGGTCAAATGTCAAATTTTTGTGAAAAGAGGAGTGTTTTTGTCGGTGAAATTTATGGGTTTCGATGATAAAAAGCGTTCGTCTTAATTTTTAATATGAGTAAAATTTCATTATATATCTATAAATTTATTAACCATCTGCTTACCGCAAGGAGAAACAACCTCTGGTTCTTTACCGGCTGATCAGTAAATTTCTACGAAATCAATTCAAACATTTGTTACAAACTTTGCTTTTACTTTTCAATTTGTTTGTACAATAGCGGGAAAGATCGAAAATGTGAAAATTATTATTTCTGCTAAAAAAAAAATACAATTTTCTTAATGCTTGACAAAATGCATTTTTGTATCTCCGACTCCTAGAAACCACCACCAGTAATTTTCTTGTCGTTCAGGTTGGCGGTCTAATTTTTAAAATGCCAAAAATATTAGTGTCAAAATTAAAGAACAAATAAAATCAGATACATACTGGGAAGGAAAATTGTTCCAAGAAAATGACGAGAAAAATCATAAACAAAGATAAATTTTATTGCTTCTAAAAATGCGTTAAAACTGTCACAAAATTAATGAACCACGCTACATATACTTTTATTATGGAATGCGGACGTACTAATTGTATTAATATTGTTCAACATTAAAAATAATGCTGCAATAAAAATTTAATTAAAAAATAAGACAATTACTCTGGTTATTGTTTAAAATCAATGTAGCATTAAGTGTATCGAAAACAGTGTTCAAAATGTGCTCCTTGAGGAATTTAACAATAATAATATCGGTGATAAAATATCTGATTGTTTGTCTCTAATTTCTTAACCACGCGTTTTTTTTTATTGAATTTTTCGAGCAACAAATTCTGATTTAATTAAGAAGTGATAATTAGCTTGCCATAAAAAATCAGCGTGATTCATTTGTTGCTAACTATAACAAATTTTTTATAATTTAAAAATTTGTACTGAGTGACAGATAAAACGCGGTATTGTCGTCACTCGTAAATTCTATACATCCTGATATGTGGGACACTTATTAAATGTTTAAAAAAAATACTATTTAAACAAATTGAAAATAGAACAAATTTTGGACGAGAATTTTACAACTATTATACACAACTACGAAAACTATAAACATAATAACTACAAGTCAGTTGAAATTTTCAATTTTATTACCGCAAAAACCGACCTTCCGATTCCTCATGAAAGAGGAAATAAAAACGCCAAATCTAAAATATTTACAAAATGTGTTTGCATTATAATAATACTCTTAAAGTTATCGTAAACTTCGTAAACTTATTACCAGAGTTATACGCTTATCCCCATCAAAAACTTGCTCACATCATTTCAAAATTTTAACAAGCAAATCCTAGTTAAAGTCACTGCAATATTTCACTTATTATTGAAAATATAGTAGTCGGAAATTTATAATAGAAAAATATAAAATAAATTCACGAGTGGCATTATACTCGTAGGTATTATCTTTCGGAAGTGACCTCTCACGTGAAAGTGAAGCAGAAACTAAACTAAAAGATGTTTTCTACAAATTTCAATAACCGGAATACAATGCCGACGGTCCAGGCTTTTTTATTGCTCTGACTTCCACTTATTGAATAAAATACTACATTTTATTTTTATTTTCGATGCAGTAATTCACATTTGGTTAATCATAACTTGTCTAGATCTAGAGAAGGCTCAGCATCCCCTAGCCTCCCCCTAACTACGGTCTTGTCTAGAGGTTACAAAATATCGAGAAAATATAAAAGTACAAAGTGTTTATGTTTCTACATCGACATAATGTCACGTAGAAATTAGTTTGATTTGAATGAATTCGTCCTCTCAAAACAGAGGATCAAAACTATTAAGTAGTAAGCTACGATCGGCAAAATGTTCTGAACTATATAACTATTGTATTTTCACATTTTCGGAATGGGTTAACTCGTTCTTAATTTGATCGATAAAAAATATTAATGCAATGATGAATCACAAGTAAAAACTCAATATATTTTGCACATTTTGAGTAGTATGAACATTGTTTTCAATACACTCAAAGCTACATTGATTTTAAACAATACCCAGAGTAATTGCCTCATTTTTTAATTAAATTTTTATCGCAGCAGTATATGTAATGTTGAACAATATTAATACAATTATTGCGTCCGCCTTCCAAAATAAAAGTATATGTAGTGTGGTTCATTAATTTTGTGACAGTTTTAACGTTTTTTTAGAAGTAATGAAATTTATCTTTATTTATGATTTTTCTCGTCGTTTTCTTGGAACAATTTTCCTTCGCAATATTTATCTAATTTATTTAAAATTTATTCGGCAAAATTTTGAAATGACGTCATCAATTTTTTGGAGGGATAAGCAAATATATTTTGAGTAAACATTTATCATGATTATCATAACTGTAAAACATCTGCAAGACTTCAAAGCATTCGGTTTTGCAGATTCGAAATTAACTGTTGTTTTATAAATTTAATTTTTTTTCCCAAAAATCTGGAGGTTTCGGGTAGAAACTCAATACGGAATCATAAACTACATGTGTAGGATTATGTTATTTCATACAATTTAAAACCCATTTACTATGTACAATTTTGAAGTGACGTCATTACATTATTAGGGATGATTAGACAAATTTTGTTTAGCGTTTTGCCATCTACATGATATTCATAATATAAATACAAAATTTGACAACTATTGGCCCAGTACTTTCGGAGATTATCTGTCTAATACAAATCGGGGCGGTAGATAGACGGATGGACAGACAGACAAACAGACAGACAGGCAGACGGAAACGGGAGACTTATTTCTTCGTACAATTCATTTGGAATTGTAAAATTTAAGCAAGAACCTGGGCTTGTTTGATAATGCTTCAGATGAGAGGGAAGTTCTGTCGAAATACTTGAAACCAACTTTATCAATTTAACTTTTTCGAAAATATTTACCTTCCTATTGAAACACTTTTATCGTTTTAATATATTATCGAGCCTATTGATTGTGTAACTGAATAACTGACTGACTGACTGACTGATTGATTGGCAGCTGGCTGACTGGATGACTGACTGCCTGATTGACTGTCTAACTGAGTAAGAGAGTGAATGAGTGATCGACTGACTGATTGTATGATCGACTCAGTGACTCAGTGACTGACTAACAAAGTGAGAAACTGACTGACTGAGCGACTGATATATTGACTGAGTGAGTGAGTGAGTGACAAAGTGGCCGACTGACTGATTGACTCAGTGACTGATTGACTGGCTGACTGATTGACTTACTGACTCTACAAAACTCAGCCGACTATCCTAAAACCTAAAAATCTTATAAACTGACAAACCTGCCACAAAAAAGTTGTTAATTTTGACAATTATAACAAACTTTTATAAGGTTATTTGGACAGAACTTACCTCGCCCGTGAAGTACAGTCCAACAAATTCAGCGTCTTCGAAAATTATAAAATCGGATTTTGCAAAATTTAATTTTTTTATGATAATTCTTAGAAGTTAAAAAACAGACAATATCGGTCACAGTGTAAGAACGGGATCGAACTCGCAACGAAGTCGAACCCGCGACCTTCGCATTAAAACAACTAAGTCGCCAAGCGACACTTACATATTTAGTGTAAAAAGTTGCTATACAATTCAGATTTTTTTGCGAAAATCTGAATACCCATGGTAAAAAATCAAGGCGGATTCATAAACCACAAGTACAGTAGTAAGCTATTTTATAAAATTTAAATGGTATTTACTATGAAATCATTTGAGTAGCCTCTTAGCATCTACACGATATTCCTAAAATCCATAATACAATTTTACCACAATTAGGAAACACGACACACATTTTTTCATACTCGAGGGGTTATGAAACTTCGAGGAAATAATGAAAATAAAAATATTTTGTGTTTTGAACTATCCTTGCTAATACTTTACATTAAACTGTGTAGCAGTGCTTTGAATATTACGTTAAGCAATGTTTAAATTACAATTTTAAAACTGAATTATAAAAGATAAACTTTCCCATGAAGAAATAGTTATCAAGATATTAATTTAAATTTTAATCTCGTAAAAACTGAACTTTCAGTACTCAAGGAAGAAAAAATGAAGACGGCAAATATCGATTTACCAGTTTTTTCATTTTATAATTTTTTTTTCAAGAGTCGTGAGGGCTCTGGAATCTGCGCCCCAAGAAAGTCAGCAACTGGTAATTTCCTGACTTGAGCCAAATCTTATTTAATACCTTGTTTTCACCGGTTACAAAGATCAGAAATCATCGATGGGAAAGTACTGTCCACTATCAAAAATTTATAAAACAAAATTCCCCTTTAGCGAACAAATTTCACCTGACAAACAAAAATTACGTTTCATCCGAAATGTTTTTTCTGGAAAATTACAGAGTCATAATAGTGACAGACTCTTTTTCTGCATCAATTTCTAACCAAATCCAGCTGACATTTAAATTCGATGCATTTTACTTCCAATCACATTCACTTCAGAAAAAACAATAACATAAAAGAAAGCTAAAGCAAAATAAAGTCGGAAATTCATAAAAACATAACTGAAACATCGACCTCAACAACCGCATTCACCATTTAAAGAAAACATGTTTTATATTTATCCTATTTCAATTTAAGAACTGTCAGGTGTTTACTGTACATTACAACAATAATTATAGTACCCAGACAGTATGAAACGTAAAGTAGTAATTATTATTTATGTTATCTTCACTCGTTACATGAAACCTGCTCTGGAAAAATACTTTCTTGCTGGTTTTTTATCAGTGATTATCGAGTTTAAAAAACAGCAATCGAATAATTCTTAGAAAAATATTTTTGCGATTGCAGGGATTGTAAAAATAAATGCTTTCGCTGATGCACCATTACGCAATAAGTTAATGCACGCAACGATTAACACCACGAAATTTGAGTGCAATTCCTGAAATTAATAAAGTGCAGTGCCTCTGATATTTGCATAAAGTAATAAAATTTAATGAC